AACAGATGCAAACAGGGCTCATTTTGGGGCTGAAGCACCAGAGAACAAGCCCTGTTTGAGCTGCTAGTGCAGATACAGCCCGTGTGCCGCAGCGGAGGCGGTGGGGCTGACCGCGTTATCATCCTGCAGGAAGGACCACAAGCACGCACGTGGTGAGGAACAGCTCGCTATCTCCCTTTATCAGGACTCAACAAGGATTTCGAGTGAAGTCATTGTTTGTTTGTCAGTTCTTTTCCTCCTGCTCTGCTCCAATCTCCAGGACACGTTCTCCCAAAGCAAAAAGAAATGTGGTCCTGCATGCACATGGGGCAGAAATCTGTCTAGTCCTTGCCAGATGGGAAAATCTTTGTATTTGCTTCTCTACTTCCCCACTACGGGGAACAGACAGACCCAAGGCATCAGCATGGTGATGGGTCCTGCATAGCCGGGCTACAGGTGATGCATCACATGCTTGTGCACTGCAGGAGGCTGAGAGCAAAGGAAGATTTCAGGCATCCCCTTTTCTTGCACCCCTGTTGGCAACGGAATAGCCCATGCCTGGATGCATGACTCTTTCCAGTTAGGAAACTGGGAAATCACACGGTTAGCCAGTTCAGGAATTGCAAAGCAGGAGCCAAAAAGTTTCCAGGGAAACCTGTTTCATAACCTGGAGCGCAGTGTTTTAGCTTCCAGACTGAAACTGAATTTATTTTTATGATATTAAATTCTTATATCCCACAATTATTTTCTGTGTGTACACGGTTGTGTTTCACACATACTTTGAATCATCAAAAGATGGCCCAGATGCTGCTATTTGCTCTGCATGAAGAATAGAGCCACACTGAAGATGACAGCTTTTGGAAATTAGAGCATCTCTGGATAAAACCACTGTGTGCTCAGATCAGCGGTACTACAGCACAGGGGTGACCGCACCGCCTCCAAAGCCTACCTGCTGAGTTGGGGAAAATCCTGACAGCTTCAGTAAAAACCCTTCCTGGCACTTTTGACACCAGCCATTGTTATCAGACGTTCCTGGGGCCATCTCCAAGCTGTACGTTTTAGCCAGGGAGTGGCATCAGGGTTATTAAATCTGTGCTCTCAAGCTCTCTGCTCACAGTTCCCAGAATACATTTCTTTTTTCTGGATACCCAGGAGAGTCCTCCTGGCATTCTGTAGTACGAGCCATTGGCAAAAGAATCCTGTGAGTAAAACCACGAGCTCCAGGAAGAGCAAAGCATTCACCTTCCTGCGGACGCCGAGCAGGACGGCAGGACCAAAGAGACGCCACATTAATCTTTGGGTTTGCACAGAAAGCAAAAAAAGTTGAAATGCAGTTACAAAGAAAATAAGGTATTTATAATTTTCTCCAAACCTTGTGTATTTGTGAAAATGCTATCTCTAGCATGAAGACAACTTTGACTTGGTTAAAACCGAACCAACCAAACAAAACCATTCTTAGGGGTTTTGGGCTAACATTTAGGCCAGTTTACACAACTGTCTTCTCAGTTTCAGTGCATTATTACTGACTACTGATATTTAATATTCATAATGCTGGAGTATTACATGGCAATTATTTCCATGTATTTATTGCACACAAGAGTATTACATTGTAATTATGTCAATGCATTTATTGCATGGAAGATGATTTTGAACCATGAAATGAAAAATGGAAATTCTTTTGATTTTTTTTTTTCTGTGGAAATCAACAGAATAACATATTGAATTGAGCAGATGAGGCCAAACCTGCATGTGCTATTTTCACTACATGTTACTGCCAGTAGAAGTAACACAGGAGCAAATTCTGCTGCCAGCAAACCGGGCACACATTCTGATTTCTTACTGCTTTACACCAGTGCTGGTGAAGCAGAATCTACAATAGTAGCTCGAGGTCCACAGTATAGGCTGAGCGATAGTGAAAGGTATCTGAAGGCAGGATACGCCTGAACTTAAGCAATTTTCTAGTCAAACCTCTGCGTGATCCGTCAATTTAACATAATTTTATGTTGAGCACATAGGCACTTTATTGCTGTAAAGCTCTCAATACAATTTAATGCTCTGCAGATCAAAGCTCTCACTGTGCAGTTCTCGGCAGGATGATGACTTTGGATGTAGGATATTGGAGTACTAAGCACTTGCACGGTAGCGACAGAACATGGATATATTGGTGCTCTCAACTAGGTTCTAAAGAAAAAAAAATCTGAGTATTTCTGTTCAAGTCCCTGGCACTTGAATTGACTTATTTTGGATATGTACCAAGAAAGGGAAATCAGAATCCTCTACAGTGGCTTTCTCTAAAACATCACCTAAAAGATGTCTGTTGAACTTAGCATTTTTCATCACTTGAACGTGAAATATATTCAGACATCTTTTAAAAAAGTGAATTTACTTATGTTGGCATATGAGCGGTGATAAACTCCTGAACCACATCCATTCATTCATCTCATCTACATACATATTTAAGTAGCTTTAGGTGAAGCTTGTCTGGAAACGGGGTCTCCTTCACACTGCGCACTACGAAATGTTACATCCATTTTAACCACAGCTCCTTCTACCCCTCAAAACACAGAGAATGGCCTCTCGTGGAGAAATGATGGCTCCTTTTATAGGGAAAAAAGCAAAGGCAGCAAGTGTCCTGGTGTTCTTCACTATGCAGGAACAAAGCAAAGGGTTGAATGAGTTAGTCACCTTAGCACAGCAAGCCCTGTGGCGACGCTTGGTTCGAAAGCTATCTAGCTGCGGATTCATTCGTCTCACAGAAACAGAGAGATGTTGACACTCTCTATCAAATTTTAAATAGCGCCTGAGATGAGGGAACCACAGGAGGCATTCAGCCTGGTTGGGTTAAGTCAAGCCAACGGTAAAGGTACTCCTCCTGCCCAGGCGCGGCTGCCGGGCGCATCTGAGTCAGAGCTGCCCGGCTCCCGTCGCAACCTCCGCCTGCTCACGGAACAGCAAAAAGGAGCTGAGAGAGACCCATGATGAATTTCCTACAGACAGAATACTTTCTTTTTTTTTTTAAAAAAAAAAGGGTTCTAGAACAATAACAAAATCCGTCTCATGATCTTAAACCATGTGAGCACCACCTAGAGACTTAAAATTCAACAGCGGCTGGCAGCGGACATCATCCCGCTGATCTGCTCTGAAAATGCTGATGCATTTACAGTAAATCCCTAACCAGGCCAGTTGTGCAACAAGTTGAAGTGACACAAAGTATTAACATTTATGGTGGTGAGTCAAAATCAAACAAACATCCTTCTTTTATAAGCTTTCTCACAGCATGTAGTAGCATGCACTGTGAGTAATGAAACATCTGTTACAGCCCTGACTCTCTCACCACTGAGCAAGTGTTGCAATCATTCTGCAGGGCCGGGCTTCACGGTGGGGCTTTAGTGGGTAGATGGGTAGAGCAACGGACAATGCTCCTCTCAGTCGATTCAGGAAGAATGAAATAAAATTTGAAACGTCTTCAAGAGCCAGGTTTCCCGTGTAGAAAATAAAAAAGTACTATATTGCAAAGTGTCAAAAACTAATTTTAACTCCAGACTGAGAGACTTATTTCGATGATACTTGCAGTTCATTCAAGTGCCCAGAGAGTCCCTTTTCAGCAGGTGCTGGTATACGCAGGAAAGTGCATTATAAAATATGCTCAGATGGTTCACTCCTGTATAAAGTTGCCCACTATGCTTCAGATGCACTGCACCAATTTTAAAGGCTGCCCCTTCTGCACAGGGCATGGGTCTCCCTGACTGCCCTGCGCTTCCGTATATTCCCCTTGGTGAAGCAAGGCTCATTTCCCCCCACCATCACCCCCCCAGTAAGTTTTGCCATTGACCACAAAGACTTGGCCCTGTTTGCTCCGTAGCGTGACCAGCATAAAGAGTCAACAAGATTCCTGGGAGTCAGAAATTTAAGTCTCAGTGCAGCAGAACATGTACTAATTAAATATAGACATACTCTCATTTCCCATCAATTCAAATGTGTACTTAAAAAGCACTTGTTAAGGGCTTTGCTGACTAGAAATACTTTCATGTGTCTGTGAATGCTTTTGCATTAGACCTTAAAGATTATGTCTGCTTCAGATATGAGTGATGACTGTGAGCTGTGCACTCCTACCAGCTATTACAGAACTGGGACACAGAAGTGGGGTTTGTTTGTTTTTTCAGCTCAATAAGTAATTAGATACACTAAAATTTGTATATCACCATAGCAAAATTCATGGACAGATTTCCATAAGAAAAGTGTCCTTTTAAAGGGAGAGGTTGTTGCTCAGAGCTTGCCCAGCATTAAGCCTTTAGGCAAGTTCCTGAAGAAGGTATGAAAGCCTTGCATTCTCTGTATCTCTATATTATGCTCAGAAATGTTCAGAGGAAAATTCCCTTGGTCTCCTGCTTTAATGTGTTTTTCTTCCAGAGTGTCTGTGCAGAAGCAGAGTTAATGATTCCTACAAGATCAGCCTGCCTCCCCTCTCAGTTCTCAGATACTTCCTCTGTATTTTCTTTTTCCGGGGGAGGAACTTTTCTTGCTCATTTATGACCCCAGATTACTGATCTAACTCTGTTTGTAATGCAATACTTGAACCCTTCAATCAGAACAGGGATATCGGTGTAGCACCCACAGAGATTAACAGAAAATTCAACTCTCTGGAATTCCCCCTTATTTCTGACTGTGAGAAGAGTGAGAGAGTTAATATTATGAAACCAGCAAGGTAACGCAGTCGACAGCATGCCGCTGCCAGAGGTTTCACTCTTGTCCTTCATCTCCCCTTCCCTCTGTTTGTTTCAGATCATTGCACATTTTATCATGTCACAATTTAAATTTCAAGCTTTCTAGCTCAAGACTCCGTCTTTATTTGAATTGTAAAGTTCACAGATTTGGGTACTCAAAAACCAGTGAAAAGAGTACAGCTTAGGAAACTTAGAACAACTGTGTAATTAAAAAGCTTTCCTGTTCAACAGGGTGTCTGCATCATCTTCCAGCTCTATAAGCAGCAAGCAGAAATAACAGACTTGTTTGTATTAAACGGACTCTATTGCTTTTATTAATCAGTGTTACACATACAGGTTAATTAAAAAAGCTACAGCTTGTGAAATATGTCATCTAGCTACAAGATACAAATCTAGGCCGATTGCCATGGTATCTATTGATGCTCAGCCACTGTAAAAATTTTACAGTTTATTTTCTGATATACAAAACTTCAAGCAAACATTCCTTGTTAAACGTTCAGTAAAGCTCACAGCATTCTACTACACAGTTTCATACAGTGTTTTAGTGCAAAAGGAAGTACAAATATAAAAATACTGAGGCTTGAATTAAAAAAAAAAAACAACAAAAAACCAAGCAAGCCGTGGAGTTAGAGGTGAGTGTCTGCTATGGGTATTCTTCTAAGCTCTACGATCTGGGAGTTAGCCATGCTGCCGCCGTCCTGGCTGCCATGGCAAGATTCATTATCGCTGACGCTGAGACCTGCACCTGAAACAGCAAACCAACCAAACAAAAAAAGAATCGGTGAGAAGGAAATCCCGACACAGAAATGGTGATATCGTGTCCTGCTCTGCTTTATTCTGATTATTGAAATGCCTCCCTACCCAACACTGATATGGGAAGTTTCCTATTACTAATCTGAATAATTCTGAATCCACAGATTATAACATTATCTGACGCAGTTTTGTACCATCCAGATACGCTTTTTCATAATTCCACTGTCAGCTGCTTTATTTGTCTCAGTAAATGGCACAATAGCTATTCAGAGGTTGCCTTGAAATCACAAGAGCATAAATCAAGGCCTGGCTTAGGCTGGGTTCATGGTCTGGCTGTTACAGTCTAGTATTTCCAAGGACTTCTTCATGAAGAATTGATTTTTAATGATACAATTTCCCTGTTAAACTATAATTCCAGCTGTTTTAATAGGATTGTAATTTCAACATGAGAAAAGACGCTGACTAAATATTCTTTAAACCCACATTTGGCACAAGCTGCTGTATTGTGTTTTTCTTCTACTGTGAGAGAATACTAGACTTTGGCCCATGGAAACTTCCAAAACATGCCTGGAAGAGACCTCAGGAGGCCACCTTCTCCATCTTTTTGTCACAGGAGTTCTGCTAGCTTGTTGCTTCCTTGTTGTTTTTTGGGGGTTTGGGTTTTTTTCTGGGGGGAGGTTTGAATTGATTAGTGTGAAGATACATAATCCTGCACTAGTTTTTATGAAATGTGTATTTTTTCAGACCACTTCTTCACGGAATATCAGTTGTAAATATAAACTTCAGTGCATTTTCAGCTCCTTTCTTTGAGTTGGAGACCAAAACCTAAAAAATACATGGCTCTTGTTAGGGTTTAGGGTGTCTAGGCTTTAAATTTGTCGAGAACTGCACATCAGGGTAATTAGGCATGGTGATTTCAAGACAGACTAATTTCAGGCATGGTCTTACAGCGATGTCACTTACGAACAACTAGGGAAGCTATTCATTTTGGGCAGAAGTAGATCTGTAACTACACGCAGTTCAAGGGAGTTGCAAAGCAATGACATTTGGCTCAAAAAGTCCTGAACAGGGTATGCTGGGAGAGGCAGTGATTTGCATTTTCATGCTAAAAAACATTTTCAGGAGTTTCTATCAGCTGTACACTGCATCTCTTATTTCTGCCTCAGCTGACATTCCAGGCTTTGGCTTGGCAAAAGACAAGATAAGGGTCATTTACTTTTTTGAAGTTACTTCATCATTTTCTATGCCCCCTATTGTTCCCCTTTACAAAGTTTCTCCATAGCACCCTTCCTTCCACCACCCCCAAGTAGAAAAGAAGTACAGAAAAGGGGGCAACGGTGGGATGCTCCTTTGCTGTGGGAAGTCAGGCTGCAATCTTGAAGTTGGAGCTTGGTTCAGAGAACCTGAGCAGAAGAACCTGCAGGATGAGGCAGGCTTTCCTGCAGAGGTCTGGAAGAAGTCCTGGTGCAGCGCTGCGTGAACCCAGCCCTACTGCACCCAGGTGAAAAGTGGGTATTTCTGCACCGCGATCCTTCTTACACCTGGTTTTGGTGTTTGGGTCCCGGATTGAACATGCATTCATTGACATCTACTAGATGAGTCCTGGTCTTGGGTCTGTATGACCCAAGCTCTTGAGAGACCAGCAATCACTGTCAGAGTATGACAAGAGTAAAAATCCATCAACGTACAGAGACACAATAATAAAGACAAGAAGATTAGGCTCTGAATCATTAAAATACTTGTTTATAAGTGTACTGAAGATGATTAAGCCGTACTTACAGATTTAAATTTACATGCATATTTAACCTTTTCATTGAATCATGGTCCTAATAACTAAAAGCTGCTTGAAAGTCCTGGGAAAAACAGCAATTGCATAAGTAAGTTATTTGGTTTTTTTCTTATCTTCTCTAAAACTGTTTGTTTTAGAAAGGAAACATGAGTGTAATAGAGAAGATAAATCAGACTGCTGTATTTACCATTTGGGGACGGAAGAACAAGGTAATAACCTTGAAGTAAATAAAATACTTTGAATGGAGAAACAAAACAATACTTCTTATGTACCAACATTAACATTGGAATTGACTCAAAACATTTATTTAGGCTGAAGAGGGTACAAATTTCAAAAAGGTAAAAAATTCATTCTTGAAAACATTTAAAATCGTATTATATAAATATGATAATCCCACGTTCAGATTTTAAGGTGAACACTGACTGTTGGGGTTGGAAAGATATTTGTCTTACTGGTGGCTATCCTGCAATTATTCAGTATGGGGTTTCTTAAAGAATGTCACGCTGGTCGCTATAAAAAGATCGGATACCGGCCTAATACGGTATTACACTATGTATATTCTTAAATGTCACATACGTGCATACTTTGTACATGCTTTGTGCAAAGTAAGAGGAGACTTTTTTTGTTACAGAGGCTCTTATCAGGAACATGGTGAACCAGAGACTGAAGTAGGCTGCTTTGGGCTTACAAGGGCCTTGCTCTGCTGCTGATGCAAAGACAAACTATGTGAGAGCTGATCCTTTTTAGGAATGAGAGCTGAAATGTAACCAGGATACCAGCTCACCAAACAGTCGGCAGACTGGGAAGGGTACGACTGTTTACACGATGGAGTTTCACAGAGTTCAGAGGTCCGGCTTGTTCTCAGAGTAGAGCAGAATTTAAACTCAGTCGGATCCCCAAAAGCATGTACTCCCCTAGAGATGCTAGAGATGCATGGTAGGGGGGACTATTACCTTTCCCCAATTTGTGAAGAAACTATTTTAAGAAAAAGACACAGGAAAATGAGGCCTTTCTTCCTTTTTTTTTTGCATCAAAGGACTAGCTGGAAACTGGAAAGTCACAGCTCGCTTTGCAAACCCAGAGAGATCCCTCCAGTGACATCTACTGGGTGAAGGATTTCATCAGTGCATTCCTACGTGCCCTTGAACACCAGATGTTATCATCTGCTTGCTCAGATATGTCTCAAACTTTCACTAAAACATTTTAAGGGAGACGGAATTGTAATTACTGTACTCCTATCTCTGGGGAGACCTTTTATCTCGTAAGCACTTCCATCTTGCTTTCTGAATCAATCATGATTTATATTGTATGTGCAAGACGTATTAGATAGAAATGAATAAGCTACACGAACCAACTTTAATTCTTCTTTCAGGGTTTTGACTTTACAGAAACACCAACAGACATCCAGACTTCTGTGAATAAAGTTCAGATTGGACTAAAAATGCCTCCTGGATGCAGTCACATTCAACAGCCAACAGGTAGCATATCTGTGAGCAATCACAAATGAGAAGTTGAATGAATAGGCAAACTGGCTACCCTTCCTTCCTTTTTTTTCTGTGAAGTGAGCCCTTCAAAACAGAAGCGACGTAGGTTGATACGTCAGGGCATGAATACGGCACCTTGCCACCCTCTACAATTCATCTGTGACAGACAGTCTCCGGGATGTTGCACTGAACACCTTTCAGAATTTGAAATTTCAAATGTTTCCTCTCGTTCAGGATGCCCAACATGAGATGCTTAATTCTTAAACCAGGCACTTACAGTGGTAACACCAAGGTTTAAAAAATGCTGACTTCGGAACCCTAGCTGTATTAGATTGAAAATTATAAGTTGGTTTATATAGCATTGTTATTGTAATAGCTGCATTTGTGTGGGGTTTTTAACTTACACAGTAGATTTTTCCAGGTATTCTCCGTGTAGAATATTTATTTAGGATTTATCACATATGCCTCTATTAAGAGCAAAAATACCTTGAGATGTGGATGTAGCAATATCCTCCACCGATACTGTCCGACATATATTTGGAAAGTACCACGTGCAAGGCTGGTATTCTCAGCTCTAACCTATAAATGTCTTTGCAAACAACTTCCTACAGGGGCGGGTCACCAGTCAGCTCTGGAGGGGTTTGGGCCTCTCTCAAAGGCTTTGCTGTGTTTTGCATTCCCATCTCACCCAAAGGAATGAATTGGTTCAGTTTTGTGCATCACAGAAAGGGGAGGACAAAAGCATTTGTAGGAGATGGGAATATGGATGGAAGCTCAGAGATCAGTAACGCTATCGTAGACTTATGGTATTTATGCTTTAGAGCAAAGCTGATGGTCAGCTTGCTGCTTTGGGACAGATTCTGTCTACTTTTATTCGATTGGCTCCCTTTTTAACTCCCCAGCCTTAACCAGAGTAGAAGTCCTTAGGGAATTCTGCTATATTGGGCTTTACCCTCAGTGACAGTAACATAAGACTCTGTGACAATCTGGAAGGCAACGGTCTTATTAAATTGTCTATCAGTATAAACCTTGCACAAGAAATCAGAGGAAAAATGAGATCTAGTCCAAAATGACAGCACTTTTAAATTTAATTAGTGCAATGAACAAAAACTAATTAGTAAATAATTGCCCTACTCAGTAGAAGCTAAGCTTTTGATTCATTATAAAAGCCATAAATGAAATATAATAAAATAAATAATTTAAGCCATATTCATAAACATTAAAAAAAAAAAAAAGTTTTAGCACATATCAATAGGCAGGACATGTCCCTAAATTATTTTTTGCTACCATAATTGTTCTATAATTTCCTTCACATAAACTGCTTTGGAGCTGGCTGGCCTTCCAAAAGATTCCCACAGTATAAGAGATGAGGTGATATAGTGACCATAGTGAATCCTAACTATATATTTCTGTATGCACATGAACATATTTGATGGAAAGGACGAACCAAGTGATAAGGCATTCAGAGGCCAGGGCTTTATGATATAAGAAGTCCAGTTTTTGGATTACTCACACCAAACAAAAAATTCTGACCATGTGATGCAAAGCTTGCATAAAGGTAGCATAAAAGCTGGCTGAGAACAGTACACTGTTGTCCACCTAATTTTCTAGAAATGCAGTCGTATGCCTTCATCTGACCTAGTCCGTATTCCAGGTTAATCTGTAATTAGGCCCAGCATTAATGATTACGGAACCAAGGGCTGAGTGCATAGTTCTATGACACATTTCTTTAGCAATAAGGCCAAGTGTGCCAGCGCATCTATTTGTGGTGCTGCACTGCAAACTGCAAATTACTAAACCGTTGCAAGCTAAAGAATAAAGTTGTGCTGCGAGGGTTTGTTTGATTTTTTTAACCTGCATCAGTCATCCTTCATTTCTGCTGCTGAGAGCGGCCAGCTGCAGTGCAAGGGTGGGGCAGGAGGACAGGAATGAGATTTTAGCTTTGCTGTGATTATACCCTCATTCTCGCTGATCCTGGCTGCCAGATTAAACCTTGCGGCTACAGACAGCGAGCATAAATTAAAATAACCTTCAGACAGCTCCAAACTACATAAGCAGAAAGGACAGATGAAGTGCAAAGAGGCATAAAGACATTTTTGCATATTCCTCTGCTAATCAGTGCTGATCCTCAGCCAACCTTCAGCGTGGGAGCTAATATTTTAGCACAGCTAAGGCTGAGTTTGGTTATAGATTGACAGTTTTAGGGAACCACAGATAATGGAGGTTTCTGCTTCTGCTTATCAGAGGTAAAGCTCTAGCAGTAGCAGAGCAAGCATTTCTATTCTTCCTCTATACCCAAAAGCCACACCTCCCAGTTTAGGAGTGATAAAAACAGCTAATGTGGTGTAAAGCACCTTTTTCCTGCTCTCCCAGGGGCTTGTCTGCTTGAGATGAGGAATTCTCCGTCTGCTGAAATAAAGCCTGGTCTAAAAAAGGTTTGAGAAGCGCTATTTACAGCAAATGACAGACAAGAGCAAGGCAGCAAAAAGGCGTCTCAGCTGCCCATACATTTCAGCCTATTTAGAGAAGAGGTGCTGGTCTTCCAGTTGCTGATGACCACTGCTTCCTTGGAGCTGGGACTGGTGCTCAAAGGGCGTCAGACTGATGTGGGGCGGCAAGGGGAGAGGGAGAGAGAGGGGGAGAGGAAGGAGAGGAAGAGGAAGAGGGAGAGGAGAAGTCTCTAACCTGAGTTGTTGCGGTTTCATGTGAGTACGAGCAACGATGCAAGAGAGGAAGAAGAGATGTGCTGCCAGGAGGGACCAGGAGACAGGCTCCCTTCAGTGCCTGCTAGCTTAACGGTATCACAAAATTCCCGTCAGACCACAGCTCAGTGAATACTTTAACAGCATAACCCTGTACTGCCAAATAGAGAAGAAATCCCACTTTCCACCACCTCATCTCCCCTTTTTATTGCTTCCCTCATGCCATTGGGAGCACCTTGACTCCTTGGCCATGCACTGAACTGGACTGGAGAGCAGGTCTGGATGAAAATAATAAAACAGATACGATTTTTAGTTACAGAAAAGCTCACATTTTTCGGTTTAAAGTATGCGTTGAGCTACAGCTTGTATCTAAGGCAATAGCTGATAAACATTTGCTTTGGTGGTTAAAGCTACTCTAACCTCAACACCACCTCTCCAGTTTGGCTTGTGGGGCTGGAACCAGATGGGACAACTGGTTTGGCTTAGAAATCACCTTTTTTTTCCCCTGTAATGTTGCTGGGCACACAGTTTGGGCACACAAATAAGCATTGGGGTAAAATGATCAGGTACTACTTGAATCAGTAATGCAAACAAAAATATTTTTTCTCCAAATGTGGCCTGAGGTCTCTGCTTCAAATCACATTAATACAAAAGGATCATAAGAACAAATGATAATAAAATACTAATAGAAAAGACAATAATAAAATTTAGGCAAGATAATCAAAAGCTGGTTCTAGACTTACTTCCTTTAGAAGGACTGAAAACAAATTAACTAAGGATGGAGCTTGAAGATTTATTAAAAAATCATTAAATGCTAAAGTTGTGATGCATTATATTAACCATGAGTTTTAACTACTGCTGTTGCCTAGATTGTTCTTCATGATTTAAGACTCAGTCTTCCATAGTGTGTAGAGTTTACGGCAGAAAATAGTCCAACTGATGTCAACTGAGCTGGTTAAGCAGTAAACACTGTGTGCAATGGTGGGAGTGTTGGATGTGAATGGCTTCTTATCTTATTAACTATCTATGAATTATCTGATTTCCTTCAAAATATTCAGGAAGAAGTAAAAAAATAAAAGCTACCTTCTTAGGTACTTAAAAAAAGGTTTGCAACTGTAAGCTCATGCACCTAGATTCAAAAGTCTTGCCCAAAATCTTTAACTGCCTAACAAAGTAGAGGTAGTCTACAAAACGTCTGGGAAAATTAATAGGTACAATACAGATTTTGTGACAATCTTCATAAAAATTTGTATTTCTTACTAACCATCCCATTATCTTCATAATTAGAAGAGTTTTCTGCAATGGAATTTGGCTTAGGAGATAAAGTATTATGAATATACCGAATAAAACTACCCCTTCATTAGCAGCACTCCCAGTCTTCCAACTAGTTTGACTGTTTTCCTTGGTGTCACTGAAGGGAACAAACTCCTGAAATTATTGGTGCCAGAGCACTTAACCTGTTAATGTCACCAATACTGCGCTGTTGTCTCTTGCAAGGCTTGATGGTATCCCCAAAGATCATTCAGGTGACCTCCTACTACCAAGCTAGCCCATTTGTATTTCACCTGGTGCCTACAGGAGGTGGGCTTGGGTTAGCATCTACCAGGTCTTATCAGGTGGTGCTCCATTGCCTTTGTGGTCGTCTTATCAGACATTCCCCTGTTGACCTATCTTTGAATCAGGTTTCACTTCATTTCTTCGCCTGTGGTCATGTCTGGATATCTATTTATATAATTATTTGAATAACCTGAAGTTTCATTGGTGGAGTGGGTGAGAAGGCAACTGGGTGCAAAGCCTGGAATTTTGAAGACCGAACTCTAAGGCTATCGAGGGGAATCTGATTACAAATGTTTTGTTTTGCAGGACACCTAGAATGGCCTCCCCTGCTTCTGTCCTGCAGCAGCATGGTAAGCTCATCACAGATGGCTCTTGTGTTTGGGCAGAAGTCCACCTAGGTTATCTTTCCAGTGTACACCATTTTTCAGGTCCAAATGTATTTTATATAAATATTTTGTCTTACACTTATTGGGAGAATCAATATTTATGAAGTTATGCTGTTTCTCATAGATATATATATAAAAACCCCATAAAGATAGGCATTGTATATACTGTATATATCAATTTGAAAAAGAAAGGAAAAGAAGGTAAGACAGCCCACATCTAGAGGCAGCAAGTTAGCCATTTAAGCTCTTGTGAAAAAATGTCAGAGCCTCCAATCTGCTGCTACATTCTGTAGGTCTGCTTATCATCATGGCTCAAAACGTATTTTTGCAGACTTCTCTGTTATTTTAGATAGCCTGCACAATATTTTGCATGGAATAACAGTCCAAGGCAAAACAATTTTACTTCAGATTTTCACTGGCAATCAGATTATATTAACGGATCTCATTAATTGGATCTCATGGAATGGTGACATCCTTAGGGTGAAGAACAACATAACAACCTTTGAGGAACAAGGAGAAGAGTCACTCACCAGTCTTTAAAGCAAATATTAGGTCATCAAACTCCTGTGATTCCTCATCAGCCACCAATGAGCTGGTACTAAATCCTCCAGAAGGGTGGAAAACATTGCCATTTTGTGGACTCTGCTTAAAGGCAGCGCTAGCTTGACTAGCAGGCTGCAAGGATGCCCTCTCCCAGTCTGCAGGCACCTGCAAAGTTTAAAAAGACACAGAAATACAGTAATCATCAAAACCATAGTATAGGAACTGGAAACTACGACCAGAGGCGAACTCAAGACCAAAAGATTTTGGAACGAGCTATTCTGTCACTTCTATTGTGAACCAGGTAGCCTTTTTCTTTTTTTTTTTTAAATAAAATATACATATATATGTATATATATGTAACTTGATTACAAGTCATTTAACCTTGTGTTTATTATGCCTGTCCTAGCTATCTCAAAAAGTTGAAAAAATATTTCTGAACATTGGTCTCTGGTATGGTGAACTTTAAATTAAGGAACTGAAAGTTTCCAGCTCACTCCTCTCTTACCACTGCCTCTTCCTCTGCTGGAGCTTCTCCCTTATATAGCCACTAATCATCATTACTTTCCATTATATGATCTACAGTTGGCAACCCACTGCTTCCCATGTTACCAATACAATATTTTAAAGTAATTTGCCAGTCTTTGAAGGTTCTGGTGGTGGTATACAGCCCTACAGTTTCGATATCAACTTTGCTATAGTTCACCTGCCACTTCAGCTAAAAGTGGAGCTGCACAAAAAATCAGAATTTCAGTTAATGAGAAAAGAGGTAGTTTTGAAAATCTATCTCCTCCTTAAATGTGATGAAAAGCCAAAATATTGAACTCTAAAAAATATATGTTTTAGGCCAATCAAAATATATTGTCTTGGTTTATTGCTGATCTACTGTTTACTGTAGGAGCTCAGGAACATAAAAGCTTGCCATGTAGAGGTGAGAAGCTCTGCTGTCCACTAAACTGGGGAGTCAGGCACCACCTTAAGTGAGACACTGAGAAGTTGAATAGATTTAGTGGTCTGCCAGGAGGCATCTGAGGAGCTTTAAAATCCAGACAAACCTACAGTCAAGTAGCTAGAGAAATGGGCAAAACAGCTGCCAGTGAGCAGCTTGGTTTCCACAAAAATTATTACTAGAACTGACATGTTCGTTTGAAATATTTCAATTCCATTAAATTGGTGTTTTTTCTAGAAAAAACTGTTTAACTGGAAAATTTTCAACTAGCTCTATCAACATGCACACGTACACAGCAGCAAAAGTCACCTTGGTTTACTGCAGGTAGTGAAAAGTGATACTAGCAGCATTCCAGTTCCAGCAACAAAGAGACTGAAAATCATCTCCCTCAAAATTTCTATTCTATTCTATTCTATTCTACTCTGTTCTGTTCTGTTCCGTTCCATTCCATTCCATTCCATTCCATTCCATTCCATTCTATTCCAATTTTATTCTAATTTTATTCTACTCTATTAAAATTTCAAAAAATTTTGCACAGCATGACTTTGGAAAATTGAAGACTTAAAGCTCATCTAAGACCTATAGTAAGCTGAAAGAATTAACTAGATATTTTGATTTTTCATGACCTACTTTTGACAACACTTCAACCAGCCTCTATCAAACTGAAGACTCAAGTAGAAAAGGGGGAATTCTCTAGATGGGACGTTACCAGGGAATTGTAAGTTCCAAGAATATCACCACAGCTAAAGATAACAATTTTTATTATTAAATAAATAATAATCCCCCCTCCTCCTAAAAGCCAACCTATAATAATTAATATCTCATTCCTGTGTATTACACTTTAGCACTGCCACTTGAATCTCCAGGTAGATTTTCAATACCCAAGGTAACGACTATAGAGCCCTGTTACCTCTTCCATAGCACTGATGAGGTTCTGAGTGGACTTGCTGATCTCTCCGCCTGCAGCCGGCAGACCACTGCCATGTGTGAAAAAAGCCGATCCTGGAGTCGTATGCCCATTCATGTCTACAGTATAACTTGCTTTCACAGGACAGCAAAGTTGGTTGTGCAGGATAAAATACACCACAAAGACATAAAGACCCTGAAACAGAGAGAGAAAAAGAACATCAGCGTGTGAAATGCAGGGAGCTTAGACCAGAGTTTGAACACAGTCACGGCAAGGTCCTATATGCTGTAGCAGATGCCTTCCCTTACACCAGCAGTCCGTGCCCCAAAGGGCTGCAGCCAGTTTCTAAGGAAAATAAGAGATGATGTCACCGCCCGTCAGAGATCTGAAAGTTAAAAGCAAGTTCATATCCTGAGGCCTCCAGCTGAACACACACACATACACACACACAAAAAACCCAACCCAAAAGAGTTATTGAAAATGATTATTTGGTTGAACCCACACAGTTGCAAAGCAAAGCCAAGATCCCGACAACAACAAAACCAACTCGAGTTTCACAGTTGTCATAATAGTGAAAATGTGGTTAAGGGCCGCCTTTACAATAGGATTTGGCTGCTGGGCCCTGGCCACAATTCTTTATTTCCTCACTGACCTGCTGGCTTTTTGAATTCTTGCCCCAATTTCAATCTCGTGCAAACTGTACTGCTGCCGTCACAGATACCAAGTTGTAACTATAAATTAGATTCTCTATGATATCCACTAACTCAGCACTGTCTTTCATTTGTGATTACTACAAAGGCTCTGCTGTATGCCTCTGCAGTTCTTCTTTAAAACTTGCTAATTTTGACCTTTAGACTTAGCCAAGAAAAGTATTATAACCATGTCTTTTGTTTGCAAAGAAATCCAGTGATTGGACTTCTGAATATGAAATCTAACTTTCTCTTTCTCTAATTCTTAAGTTGCACTAAAATTGAGGGACAATAATCCATTTCAATTGATAAATCAATGAGTTCAACACTTACTAAAGAAGGGGTTAACCAAAAGACTTCTGGATTCTTCCCGATAGCTGCAATACAATTACATTTGCATTGGTTTTTGTATTTCACATTGTCCTCTAGACCCCTGAAACCAACTGTACTAAACAGAACAATTTATTGGAAAGGTACCCACAGGCATGAAAGTAATAACTGGGATTATAAATAGTAAGGAGTTTCATCTACTTATATTTGGGAATTCCTAATGGAAGGAAATTTGTAAATACATGGAAACTGCAAATATCCAAGATATATATTCATTTCCATCCCTATAAAACAGGCAGCAGCACTTCATGGCCCACAGATTCATAATTTCTAATGCCAAAACTATATGACAAAACAGTCTGGTCCAAAGTGACACATAATAGAAGTTAATGGGATTCAATGGGATTTCAGTCTCAGCTGGTCAAACACTGGAAATACCCTCATACAGCTGCTATAAAGCCATACAGATCTGTGTGTACATTTTTTTAACAGTGAACCAGCAAACAAAAGTGTTAAAAACAACTATTTTGAGAAAACATTTTCCCACTTTTCCAGAATATTGTTTTTTGTCATGAGGACCCAGAGCAGTTAACTAAAAGGAAATTTCTTTGAGTGATACATATAAGTAAATACATTCCAAAAAACTGATGCAAACACATGTTGCACTTAAGAGACACTAAAAAGGAACCAAAATGTCCTTTCACTCTATAAACAAATCCAAGGACTCTGATGTAGGTCAAGCATAATGGGACCAGCAAATGGAGTTCTTTTAATTTAAGTTGTTTAATGGATATGAAAAGGATAAAAACCCCAAGAAGAACAGATAACAGTGACGACACTGAATTCAGAGCAGCCTCTGGCATTTCGGTCTCTGAGGACCTAGCCACAAAAGTTGCACACACGTTTCAAGTGGTTTTGTACTTCTCAAGAAAACCTATTAGCTAAAAATGCTGCACAGCCCTGTCTTTCAGAATCGCAGGGACATAAGGCATTGGTTTGCAAGACACATGCTATGCCATTCTCCTGTGTAGCCCCAAGTGTGGACACTCACTCTTCTAAAACAAATAAACACGGAATAAAGTGCCACAGTCATCTCCTTAACTCAGCCTGGTGTCCTGATTGAACTCTCTGTGTGTTTCGGACAGTGTTATTTCTGAGGAACTATTGTTCTACCAGAACAATCTGATTCTATGATTCTATTTCTTTACTGAAAGAATGGTCAAGCATTGGAAGAGGCTGCCCAGGGAAGTGGTTGAGTCGCCATCCCTGGAAGTATTTAAAAGACGTGTAGATGTGGCACTCAGGGACATGGTTTAGTGGGCATGGTGCTATTGGGTTGACGGTTGGACTCGATGATCTTAGAGGTCTTTTCCAACCTTAATGATTCTATGATGCTATGATTCTATAAACCACAGAAAGGAATTTTGACACCCAAAGCATCCTTGCTGCCACTACTCCCTGCTGCCACCACTTCTGCCCCTCACTGTCACCCAGAGACACAGACCCTCGTCCTGGGCAGCAGGAGCAGCACCCCTGAGATGCATCAACTTCAGTTACGTGCAATTCAGAGAACACCCATGTATTGATGCAGACGGGTGATGAGATAGCTCCTCTGGGTCCTTCCATGACGAGCACATGGATTCGGGGAGGTTATTTGACTGTCTAAGGACAGGAGGAGTCACAGGCTGAGTTAGCTAACAGAAACAAAAATTGTGAGTTTTACTTCTCCCACTCTTGTAAAATATTACAGCAATGCCTTACAAAAAGAAGCTTATACCTAACAAACCCCAACACTTCTAAGCAGGTTACGTGTTTACACAGGAACTGTGTTGCTGGGTAGAAGATTTCTTGCTTAGCTGGAAAAAGGATGGAACCTTCTTTGACCCATATTCCTATTCAAATCTAGAGTCTCAAGAAGATACACTCTGTAGAGGTGTGTTGCTACGTGCCATCACTGTGGTTTTGTTTGAAGTATCGAAAGGGGTTTGTGGTGTTATTCTCACTACTCCGCGTCTCTATTAGAAATCACTGCAACTGAATTTTGGGAAATCAAAACAAGGCAAATGGTCCTGTCCAAACAGCACCGAGTTCCAACGATCATACACATGAAGATGCCATGGATCAAGTCGTATTGATCCGTGCTTATTTTAGCACCAGCAGCCACCGGGCTGTTTACTCTGAAAGAGCATGGGCAGGATGCAGACGCTCGGGTTGTGTCAGTGCAACCACAGCTTTCACAGTCTCAGTGGATTTTTTCAAAAGCACTAGTTTGAGAATTGAATTGTCCTTCAACACACTTTTGACACTCATTATGTTCTTTTTCACTTCAACCTTTAACACTGTAAAAATAGTCTTAAAGTCTATGAAAATAAGGCTGTTGGCATTGTAAAGTATGTTTCACTGTTTTTATCATATAAGCGACTTTGGCCAAGTTGGCACCACTTTACTTTTTCAGAGACACACAGACATTGTCCTTGCCAGTTGAACCAAGTACGAAATGGAGAGAATAGTCAAGTTGTGTTGACAGGTCTACCAGACCTGCAGGACGTTCAGAGAAGAAACACACTCCAAACGGATCGAAAGAAGGTAGGTCTGGGTATGGATATCAGTAACACAAGCAATGACATCTCTATTAAAAATGTGGTAAATATTAATTTTGTATTCTTAAGAAGATTTCTTTAAAAACCCCCAACATAACCCCAAAAACCCAAAACCCAAAACCTCAGCCTAGTACCAATATCCTCTGCTGTTGCATACAAATCCAGAGCCATTCTCCTCAGCCCACAAGCACGAACAGGGAGGCCAAAACAAGCTACTGGATCTCAGAGTGAAATGACTGGTTGCTAACCTGAGAGGTTGACCTGGGCTCTCTGGAAGCAGACTGAACAACTAAGCTAAAGAACTAGGACTCAGGAAGATTTAACTGTAATACTGCATAACTTCTGTGTGCTAGGCCCACAGGGCTACTTACAAAACATTTAACCCCATGTCATTCACGGCTACATTATGATAGTAGTATTAATACAACGTCACAGTAAAAGATAAGAGGAAAAAGTGTTACTAATGCATCTCCCGTGGAGGAAGGTGAGAACTACTTCGGGCAGACAATTAGGCTGTCCCGAAGGTGGGAGCACAGACAGACAACATACAGTTCTTCTCAGAGGTGGTGGCTGCCTGAAAAATGTTTCTAAGATACTGTCAATAAAGGCTGCTGGTTATTTTACTGATATATGCTGATGGAAGACAATTAAGGTTTTGTTATTTCACCTCAGCAAGCTGGTCTGTAGAACTGATCTTTTGCATTGTTATGTCAGGGAAAAAAATATCCAGAAAAACCATAGCTACAACTGTCTGAAGGAAAGCTCACATGCAAAAGGGTCCACTGGGACCTTTTCAGCCAGTGAAGTGGGAACAGCCTCGATGCTGCCCTAGATTATGCCAGATATTTCACCCCAATCTTCTTTCGGATTTGGTACAGATACTTGACCAACCTGATTGCCTTCTGTGACTGGTCCAGTGGGCGAGGGGAGAGTGGTGGATCACATCTGCTTTGAGTGTTGCAAGGCTTTCAGCATGGTCTCCCACGGCACTCTGGTACCCAAGTTAGGACATGGTCATCTAGATGGGTAGAGCACTGGATGGGTAAGAACTTGAGCAAGTCCAATGGAAGGCCACCAAGATGGCCAGGGGCTCAAGCACATGCCTTGTGAGGACAGGCTGAGGGAACTGGGCTTTTTGGCATGAAGAAGGCCCAGAGGGGAATTAATAGCCATTAACTGCTATGAGCTTTCCAATACACAAGAGGAGGTTACCGAGAAGACGGAGGGGCATGGCAGGAGAATGAGAGATACTGGTCCTAAGGTGAAACAGGGGACGTTCCAACTGGATATAAGGAAAACATTTTTAATGTGAGCGAAATTAAGCACTGGAACAAGTTGCCCACAGAGACTGTGGAAAGTTCTCTATAGAAGAAGGGAGGTTTTTCCTGGTGCATTTTATAATTTGTGGGAGGGTTTTGTGCATGCATGACTGTGAGGGGGATTCTCATACACAACAGCTTGATTTATTTATTCTGTGGAGTGACAGCTGCAGGACAGTAAATTAAGGGCAGACTTCCACAGCTGTCAATAAAAGGACAGAATACATTTTACATTTCGTAAGATCACATGCAAACCC